TCTAAACCTAATCCAATCTGACAAAGGAAACGGTTACAGACCAGACCCAGAACCCGAACCCAAATAACATTGAGACCCCCGATTACCAGTCGTAGCGGCTGATAATCTGATTCAAGTCATATCAACAAATCTCCACCTTGACTTGAATCCTCTTCCTCTGAAATCTCTGATGTACTCTGCTCCCTCTCTCTCTCCCGCCATCAATGCCCCGTAGGGCGGAGTCACCCACTCAAGACATTCAGCAAGTCCAAGCAGTGTTGGAACTTGCCATGTGGAACCGGCTTCGTGAACATATCAGCAGGATTATCCGCGGTGCCAACCTTCTTCACCTTAATCCTCTTCTCTGTCCTCAAGAAATGATACCTCACATCGATGTGCTTAGTCCTCTCATGGTGGACTTGATCCTTGGCCAAGCATATTGCACTCAAACTGTCGCAATACACCACTGCCTGATCGTGATGTAGACCCAGATCACCAACCAGTCCCTTCAACCATATTCCCTCCTTAGCAGCTTCTGTCAACGCCATATACTCTGCCTCAGTAGTAGACAATGTCACCGCCGACTGCAGAGTTGCCTTCCAGCTCACTACAGAACTCCCAAGAGTGAATACATAACCGGTCATCGATCTCCTCGTGTCAACATCTCCAGCATAGTCCGAGTCAGAATACCCAGACACCAAGCACTCTGTATCACTTCCGAAGCTAATCCCCACATCAGGTGTACCCTTAAGGTACCGGAAGATCCTCTTCACAGCCTGCCAATGCTCCTTCCCAGGTTGTATCATAAACCTGCTGACAACACTAACAGCATGTGCAAGATCAGGTCTAGTGCATACCATAGCGTACATCAAGCTACCTACTGCACTAGCATATGGGACTCTCGACATGTACTCCTTCTCAGCCTCTGACTGTGGTGCATAAGCTGAGGATAGATGAACATTTGAAGCACTAGGAGTATTTAAGGGCTTTGCTGAAGACATGCCAAACCTCGACAGTATCTTCTGGATGTAGCTCTTCTGTGACAAGAAAAGCTTCTTCTTCGACCTGTCCCTGTAAATCTCCATACCCAAAATCTTCTGAGCAGCTCCCAAATCCTTCATCTCAAACTCAGCACTGAGAAGCCCCTTTAACTTCTGGATATCAGACTTTGACCTCGCAGCTATGAGCATATCATCCACATACAGAACTAGATATATCATTGAACCATCCTCTGCCTTGCTGTGATATACACAACAATCATATGGACTTCTGCTGTAGCCCAGCTCAAGCATGTAACTGTCAAATCTCTTGTACCACTGCCTCGGAGATTGCTTAAGTCCATACAAGGACTTCTTCAACTTAAAAACATAGTCTTCTTTTCCCGGAACCTCGAATCCTTCTGGCTGAGTCATGTAAATTTCTTCCTCCAACTATCCATGTAGGAAAGCTGTCTTCACGTCTAGCTGCTCGAGCTCCAAGTCATAATGTGCCACTATTGCTAGTAGCACTCTGATCGAAGTATGTCTGACCACTGGTGAGAAAATCTCATTGTAGTCAACTCCTTCCCTCTGCGAGAAGCCTCGTGCAACCACCCGAGCTTTAAATTTCATGCCCTCTTTAGAAGTGATTCCATCCTTCTTCTTGTAGATCCACTTGTTTGTAACAATCTTCCTTCCCTGTGGTCGTTTGACTAGCTCCCAAGTCTGATTCCTATCATGGGATTCCATCTCATCTCCCATTGCGGCAAGCCACTGATCAGCTTCACCACCCGAAACTGCTTCTCTATAGGACTGTGGCTCTCCTGCATCCACTTCCTCAGCAACCTGAAATGAATACGCCACCATGTCCTCGAAGCCATACCTCTGTGGAGGTACTCCTGCAGTCGCTCTCTTCGGTCTACCGGAAGCAATAGACTGTTTAGCTCGTGCACTGGACTCTGAAGTTTTTGGCTCTGCAGAGACATCCTCATCATGTTGATCTTCTCCACCTTGGTGCTCAAACTCACTCTCATTGAGAGTTTGCAACTCCACCTGCTTATCAACATTCCTGCTACCTTCAGCAACAGTAGCCTTCAACATGGGGTTAAACATAGACTTCTCATCAAATATCACATTTCTACTAAGTATAACTCGATGCTCAGAAGGTGACCAGACTCGAAATCCCTTAACTCCATCTCCGTAACCCACAAATACACCCTTCTTTGCCCTTGGGTTCAGTTTACCCTCATCCACATGATAATAAACAGGACACCCAAAAACTTTCAGTGAAGAGTAATCAGCAGGCTTACCATACCACACTTCATAAGGAGTCCTACACTCGATACCTGTGTGTGGTCCACGGTTGATCAGGAAGCACGCCATGTTTACTGCTTCTGCCCAGAATCTTCTCTCTAGTCCAGCATTAGAGAGCATGCACCGTGCTCTCTCCAACAATGTCTGGTTCATCCTTTCTGCAACGCCATTCTGCTGGGGTGTATCTCTAACAGTCCGATGACGGGCAATCCCTTCATCCTTGCAGAATTCGTTGAACTCAGAATTACAGAATTCCAGACCATTGTCCGTTCGCAGCTTCTTGATCTTCTTACCGGTCTGATTCTCCACCAATGTCTTCCACTGCTTGAACTTCGTGAAAGCCTCACTTTTCTGCTTCATCATGAAAATCCAAGTAAATCTCGAATAATCATCAATAATAGACAGAAAATACCTGCTGCCTCCAATGGATTCAACTCGTGAAGGACCCCAACAGTCGGAGTGGAGGTAATCTAGTATCCCCTTCGTCCGGTGGATACCCTTCTTGGGAAACTTGCTGCGATGTAGCTTCCCAAACACACAATGCTCACAGAATTCCAAATTCTGCACCTTGTGCCCGCAAAGAAGATCCCTCTTCGATAGAACTTGCATCCCCCGTTCACTCATATGCCCCAGTCTCATGTGCCAGAGAGTGGTCATATCTTCCTGTTGAACCTGAGACGATGCAACTGCAGCAGAACCAGACAACACAGACCCTTGTAATGCATACAAGGTCCCACGCTTCACGCCCTTCAGTACCTTCCTCGAACCCTTGCAGACATACACAACTCCACCTTTTCCTTTGAAGCTGAAACCCTTGCTGTCGAGTAGACTCAAGGAGATCAGGTTCTTTGTCATTCGTGGAACATGCCTGACATCATTCACGGTACAGAATGAACCATCATGTGTCCGAACCTTTATGGACCCGATTCCAACAACCTTGCAGACAGCTCCATTAGCCATGACCACGTTACCACCATCTATCTGCTCGTAGGTTGTGAAGCAATCCCTGTTCGGAGACATATGATATGAGGCTGCAGTATCCAGAAACCACACATCACCACGATGTGCCTTCTCATCTACAGCCAAGGCGAGATCGTCTTCAGAACTGTTGTCCACTTCTGCCACGACAACTGAATCTTGTTTCTTCTGTTGCCCTCTTCTCTTGGGACAGTTGTACTTCCAATGCCCCACTTCCTTACAGTTGTGACAAGCATCACCTGGCTGTGGACCGGGACCCTTGGAATTCTTGCTCGAATTCCCTTTACCAGATTTCTTCTTTCCCTTTCCACCTGTAACAGCCAAACCCGATGCCTCACCACCTGTACCAGATCCGGACGCCTTATGTCTGATCTCTCTCGTATGAAGAGCAGACCTGACATCCTCCAACGACACGCTTTCTTTACCGGCAATAAAAGAATCAACGAAATTCTCATATGAACTCGGCAACGAAACCAGCAGGATTAGGGCAGCATCCTCGTCATCAACTTGAACATCTATATTACGCAGATCTAGCAAAATAGAGTTAAGTTGTTTGAGATGTTCCCTCAAAGGCGTACCTTCTTGCATCCTCAAGCTGAACAACCGTTGCTTGAGATGCAGCTTGTTGGTTAGAGACTTAGTCATGTACAGACTCTCTAGTTTCAACCACAAGCCCGCGGCAGTCTTCTCAGCAGCGACTTCAATGATGACGTCATCAGACAATGATAGCATGATGGTCGAGTGGGCCTTCTCCTCCAGGGTATTCCACTCATCGTCATCGACCACTGCCTTCTTCTGTTTCGCAGACAGCGGCCCCCACAACCCTTGCTGTTTTAATAAAGCCTGCATCTTGATCTGCCATATAGCGAAGATGTTCTTCCCCGTGAACTTTTCGATCTTCATGTTCACCGACGTCATTCTTCTGAATCGAAAACCCTAGTCTGATTTCCAGCCGCGGCTCTGATACCACTTGTTAAAAACGCGCTGCTACGGATCGGGAAATCGCCGGAATCGACAAAGCAAGAATGCGAAAGCGAGAATCGAAAACACAACACACGATTTACGTGGTTCACTAACACGATGTGTGCTAGCTACGTCCACGGGCGAGAGAGAGCCAGTTTCACTATATCGAGGAGATTACAGATTACAGAGGAGTATGAGAAGTATTTATAACACTTCTCCATGTGGGTCTAAACCTAATCCAATATGACAAAGGAAACGGTTACAGACCAGACCCAGAACCCGAACCCAAATAACATTGAGCCCATACACCGAGACCCCCGATTATCAGTCGTAGCGGCTGATAATCTGATTCAAGTCATATCAACACTCCTAATACATAGCCAAGTGGTCCTGTTGAGATACCTATTGTTCCTTGAGTTCGATCGACCTGTGAAAGCAAGTGCTTGACCATTTTTTCTAATGGTAGAGTTCCGTTGTAAGTTGGTCGAAAAGCTGTCAACCCATTTCAAATCATGATGACTTGAAATCATCATAGGCGTACCCTAAAATAATGTATGTTCAACTTGATTGGTTGAATCTCAATACCAGTTTTACCGAAGCAACTCAGGTCTCATTTTGAACCTCAGATTCTAATGTTGTATTCTGATTTCTGACTATACATGTATTCAGTATAATAGAACGTTTATCCATAGTTCATTTCATGTGTAATCCACGAATTCTTCTATATTTTCCAAACAAAGAATTTTTAAAACCCACACATCCTTAATACACATATAATCTTAATACACACATTCTTACAGTACACCATTTTGGGAATCATAATCAAAGTTCCAAAGCACCCCTTAGTTCAGTAGTGTGATTGAATCATTTCAAACCTATCTGCAATTCCACTCTGCTTTTGTTGGCCCACTCTGGTTTTGTTGCCAATATCCAACAAATGAACAAGCTGGCTGGCTTGTCTGCTTGCCATCTGAAATGCAAGAAAAGAAAAGAAATGAGTGTATGCGCAATGCAATCACTACGATAGAAGTTTATGCATGACTGACCTCTCTGATTTTCTGACCACCCCACAACCAGACTGAGTGTTGAAACTCATCAAGAAATGAAGGCCCATTTTGGGCAATCATGAGATCAGTTGAATCGCTAAGTTTCAGTGCACTCGATTGCTGGAGCGCCCTTGGTCGTCTCAAGAAAGGTCCCCTGCTGTAGATCGACGATTACAATACGTCCATAGCGGTAAAATAATTAACTTTTTTTTTTGGGTAACACAAAAACTAGAACAAGGGGAAACATAGCTATATAAATCCTACTAGGGTATAGTAAGCATATTGAAGGAAATAGCATATTGACATATCCATTCATTATATTTCACAGCTTGAGAAATTCAGCTTAACTATTAATGGACAGAAGATCAAACAACGGATCTATTGATCAAGGATGTAGACAAAAGTTACGTTGTTATTGGGTTTTGACGAACAAATTGATTTTGGGCAAGCTTTATTCAGTTGATCAGGGAGGGTGTTAAAATTGACACTCGTGCTTAGTTTATATTTTAATATGTAATTTGTCTCTTTCTACGTTAAACCTTAGGTAAAGTCGTAATATTGATTTCACAGAAGAGAAGAATTGTATATAAGTTGTGTAGTTCAACCTATGTAAAAGTAAGCTAAATCAAAGAGACTCGATGAGAGTACTATCTCTTTCATGGACTAATCTTGATAATCAGGAATATCACATAAAATTCCGGTTTTATTTGTTCCAACCGGTTTTATTTGTTCTAACTGTTCATAAGTTTTGATTAGATTTTTTTATCTGTCCAAGGATGTAACATGCAATTAGGGATGGCAATGGGTCGGGTTGGGTCGGGTTTTGCCAAACCCAAACCCAAACCCATGGGTTTATCTTTGAAAAAAATCCGGGGTAAAACCCACTGGGTTTGAAAAACTCAAACCCAACCCAACCCGTTGGGTATCCGCGGGTTCATGGGTACCCACGGGTTTTGTCGTAAAAAATTTACAATTACAAGTTCTTATCAAAATTAAAGTAAAATATCAATCTCTCAATACAAATTATCCATATATAAAACACCATTCTAGAAAATTCAAGCAAATCACAAATAAACTATACAAATTGTTCAACACCAATCTAGAAAACTCAAAAAAATTGAAGCAAATCACAAAATTTCCATAAATAACATGTTTAATTGAAAGGTTCTTCCTTTCGATTAAGTTTCTTTACTCTCCACTTCATAACATCAACTTCATTCTACACAATTAAAAAGAAAAAATTAGACATGTCTCCACAAACATAAATAAGATTAGTTGTTTAGAATATTAAATATACCGAAAAGATTAATTATATAAGTGGGCGGGTACCCACGGGCCGGGTTTACCTAAACCCAAACCCAACCCAACCCGTTGAATAGTGAACGGGTTTAAACCCAAACCCGGCCCAAAACCCGTCAACACAGATTTTACCCGTGTTGACCGGGTTGGGTCGGGTGGGTACCCATGGGTTCGGGTTTTGTTGCCATCCCTACATGCAAACGAACGAATCATTTGACATCAAATTACTCGTACGAAAAATGTAACATGCAAACAAACCCAAATACTTGATTGAATGAGTAGTCGAGTCTTTGGTAAAGGAGAGAGCTGGGAGATGGTAATGATGAAAGCTGATGAGCAAAGACTGAAAATAAAGTGAATATAAGGTAATAGTGAAGAGAGAAGAAGAAGAGGGGAGGTTGAGGGATCGGTTTTCTTTGGGTAATCATTAGGTTTTCGTGAAGAAAAGAGAGAGCCCTGGAAGGAAATGAAGGAAGGGGGAATGGGGTGGGTAATCATTTCTTCTTTTGTCTATAGGGGAAGAAGAAGATGATGATGGGAGAGGACTGAGGGAGAAGCTTTCGTTTCTCTTTGGTGTATGTATGAGTAAGTATGAATGATGGGTCATGATTGTGGTTCTTTCTCAATCATGGACTACCTTCTTTTACGTGTGCATTTTGCCTTTTTTTGGTGGTGAATATTTTGCCTTTTTTTGGTGGTGAGCTAGCTTCCCACTTTTTCTTGAGAATGAATCTCAGAATCTGTATGGTCGATGGGAGTTGGGAATTGGTTTGGTTTGTTTTTCGAGCTCATGGCCCACTGTTTGTTTACCAAAATAGTTGTTGGTATTGAATAGGCCCATTGTAGCGGATGGAGAGAAAACATATTGAAATTTGGGCCAGATACGGTCCAATACCGATCATTGTCCAATATAACGTGACCAGCTCCCACATAGGAATGAAAGTGGGTCGAGTTGGGTCGGGTTGGGTCAAACTCAAATACAAATCTATGTGTTTATTCGTCAAAAAAATTTGGGATAAACCTCAACCTACTGGGTATCCACGGGTTCATCGGTACCCATGAGTTTTTGTAGTAAATAATTTACAATTACAAGTTCCTATCAAAATAAAAGTTAAACATCAATTTTCTCATACAAATTATCCATACATAAAACACCAGTCCAAAAAATTCAAACAAATCACAAATTTTCAACACTGATCTATAAAGTTCAAGCAAATCACAAATTATCCATGAACAAGATAATTAATTGAAAGCTTCTTCCTCCTTGAGAACTTGAACATTGTCTTCCTAGCTCACTCTCCACTCCATAATATCAACTTCATTCTACACAATTAGGAAGAACAAATTTAGACATGTCTCTACAAACATAAAGAAGATTAGTTGGTCTCCACAAACATAAGAAAGATTAGTTGCTTAAAGAAGTCATATTGCTTAAAATATTAAATATACCAGTAACAAATGAAGTATAACAGAGGTATTTAAAGCATATCAAGCACCTAACAAAACAAATCATGATGGTTTAAAATAAAATGCGATCATTCCAAAGCCAAAGATTCATCAATCAATCGTACTTTGCTAGCTAGTAATATTACCCACTATGAAAATATGACTAATTTTAGGCAATGTCGGGCCTAACAAACATCAATGACGGATGAATAGCAAGTTAAAAACACACAATTACACTAAATAAAAGAACACAATTCATTGTTTTTCGTTCATTCCCTTTTTGTTTGTGAGAGAGTAGCAAACCAACAAATATGGTGTGTTCAATTTTAATTATTAATTTACCCATCTCACTTCTTTTGGGATAAAGGGAACAATACCTTGATGGTAAGAAATAAAACATACATTCAACTTTCTGGGAGAAGCAGAGAAGGATTGGGGTCGGATCGGGAAGGAGTGAGGGTTTTGGGGGAGAGAGCAGAGTGGGGATTGGGGACGCTCGTGTGAGTCATGAGTGTCGTGAGATTTAGATTGGGGGAAATTAGAATTAGAATAGGGTTTGAGGAGAGTAGGGCGACAAAATAAGTGTGGCAGGTATCCATGGGTCAGGTATCCCTAAACCCAACCCGGTGAACAGTGTAACGGGTTTAAACCTAAAACCGGCCCGAAACCCGTCAGCACGGGTTTTATTCGTGTTAACCGGGTTGGATCGGGTAGGATACCCGTGTGTTCGGATTTTGTTGCCATCCCTACTCCGAAAGCAATACTTGCATAACTGTTTAACATCAAGCATCAACCATTTGTTTTGTATCTAGGTAGCGCTGGAAGTTTGGTACTAGTATTTGGTATATATCGATTATAGTATCGAATTTACCATTATTTGGTATTACCAAATATCGGCTTATTTTTTAGGAATGGGGATTCATTTTTGGAGTGTTATTCGGTATTCAGAATTGTGATTGGTATATACCGAAATATCGAGATTTTTTTTAAATTAATGAAATATAGCATACAACCTTTAATCATTTCTCACTCTTTGACAACTCACAAGACTCCATCCAACCCCATGGTGTAAACCAAAATTTGGTACTTTTACAGGTTTTTTAGAATTTTTTTTTTTTGAATTTTTAACGGACAATTACTTTATTAGAATCGCTACTCATGATTCGGACGTATTAACGATGATCGGGGCTCCAAAATGTCAACGATGAAGTTGAGAGTGAGGATAAATGTTTATTTTTTCTTTAGTCAAAGTAATGTGTGTTTATTAAAGGGAAGCTAAAAACAAAACCATAAAAGTTTAACTTTAATTATCGTAATTTTAGGACCACCTATATCAATTCCCTTATTTTATTGGATTGTGGTATTGAGTTATGTTTTAGGTGTAAACAATTAGTACAAAGTGGTTGGCAATTTATGGGGTACGAATTTATTTTTCCTGTTAGAATTTAACAAACTGCATCTCACTCATTTTAACTTGGGCTTCAATTTTTTTAAACACAGAAAAATCATATAATTATACTCTACAGAATATCATTCACTTTGATATACTAGTGTGGGCCCCGGCCAGTTGGCCGGAGGAAGGTGAGGTATGAAATTTGATAATGTAATGGGGTGTATAGCTTATTGTTGTATAGTTTTTTTTGGGAAACACATGATAAAAATAGTGAATTTTAGCAGGAAAGAGACATGAATGATGCACCGAATAAAAAATCGGTCTTAAGAACCAAAATCAAGTACCTGTTACCTTGTGAAACAATATTGTTTCTGGTAATATGATGAGGTGACGTAAGTTTTATAGAAACCGAATTCCAAAAAATCGAATAAAAAATCGCCTATCCCGTCGGTTTTCGAGAAATGAGCATCTCACAATCGTTACTAGCTTTTACTCGGCCCGTTGGCCGATTAATTTGCTTTATAAAACTTCCATCTTGTCGTCATTGTGCTTTCTGGTTTTTGTCATGCCATGATAAAATATAAGAAAATCAAGAACGAACAACACGATTTGGGATAGGAACCGCCGTTGTCGTATCCCTAGAAAATGGCGGTAAACACGGACTCACCTGCCAAACTGGTAGGGCTGGATGTTCGGGTTCGGGTTTATGGGTAACCCGGAATCGGACCAAAAATTCCGGGTTTTGGGTACCCGAGAACCGAAATATCATTGTGAAAAATGGGTCTCGGTATCGCATCTGGCTATTTTTCGGGTTTTGGGTAAACCGAACCCGGACCCGAAAATAGAAGGACCCGAAGTGGAACCGAACCCCAGCCCACAGGCCAAATATTATATGGCCCAGCGGCCCAGCCCAGCCTTAAGGCCCTCGGCCCCCCCCCCCCCCCTCACTCCTCAGC